TTCGTTCCTACGCCTTTATTCACTCACCGTTCCGTGTTTTACGCCCGTACACGATAAAAGAACGCACAGAGAGGAATGCGATCATCGAGTTCGGTAAATTGAGAGTTCAATTATCAAGCGAATAAGCGTCGCTCGTAATAAGCCGAAAATGTTCCATTTGTTCACAAATGACTCGCATAACTTCAGCGCGATCTTTATTAGCTCATTCCTAATTGATTCGGCGAAGAATAAGAGAGAGTTGACCCGATACATGAATTAGATTAGGATTTCCTATAGTTCCACTTTCGACAATTTGCAAGATACAAAGTTGCTTCATTATTATCTTAACGCTCAACCGGCATGGGTACTTAATTTGAAATTGAAAATAAATTTAAAAAATAAATAAACGACGAAACAAATGAGTACACACATTTATTGTTTATCTTGATGAAAATCAATTCTGATTTCAAGGAATGTAACAAAATGTGTGTCTTATAACAAGAAGCCTCATTTTTAAAGCTTCAAATTCCAAATCTAAAACTCAAAAATACTTAAACTCCAAGACACCAAATCTCTAAATTTCTAAAACCCAAAAAATTCTAAAATTATGAGTCCCAAATTCCCAACCATAAATTTAGGGAAGACTAAAATGAAACAATTTCGGTCAGCAAAACGAATTGACCCTTATTAGCCCTTGTTAACGAATAGTCAGCTTACGCACAGTTATTAAACGAGGTCACGTTTGTATGCAAAACATACTCGTGAGAAGTTAAATTACAAAAAGCATTGCTCTCAATTACACCGTTTTTACGGTCAATGTTTTATTTCTCCTAATGTTACCATTTTATGTAATTACGCTTTTCAAAAGCGAATGCCAGTTAAACGCGACATATTTTATGAATTTTCACCTGCAGTTTCAACGGCGAAGAAATAAAAAATAAGCGGTGTGGTATTCGATGAATGAACGCTCGGGGAATGCAACCTTAGCTAAAACGCATTTTTCACGTCCGCGATTCAAGTTTCGAGTGACCATGTCCGCGAAACCAGTTCGTTTCATACTCGATTAATCTCTGGATTGGCGAAAGTGCCGGACAAGTTTTCGATTAGAAACGCGATGAAATCAATCCAGATTCTGTCTCATTCAACGGAGATAGTAAACAAATGTGACGCAACCGACCGCATTCCTCTCTTATCAAGCAATTACCGGGTAATTGATATAATTTCTGAGATATTAACCCTCTCGAGAAATGCAATCTTAACAAGAATTATCATTATCTTGATATCACTTCATATCTCTTACCTTGCTGCAAGAATACTCAGAAACTTGCATCTCGAAAAATGTATCAAAAGTTACAAAACAGACGTATACGATTCTAAACCTACTAAACGTATCTTCTCGACGTGCGAATGTAAAAAATGATCGATAAAATTGAACCGCGATTAGACTTCGCTGACAATCAAATCTCACCTTCTGCAACAATTGATCATATCACATTGTGTGCCATAATGGCATCAATTTCTTTTCAACGACCCACCCATCCGAGAACGTGATATCACTGCTTCTGTATCTTTGTTCTCTCGTATTAATGTCACGTGTAACAGAAACGTTACGATAACTCACTGGTGGTCCGTATGACCCAGGTACTTATGATTCATCGTCGCTATGAATCTTTTAATAAACCCTAACAGGAACAATGGACGTCCAGTCTCTCCAAACCTACAACTAGTTTACAGTCATAACTCGTAACTTTGTTGTCCCTCTTTTATCTATAAAATACAATTTTTCGTATACAAAAATTAAAATTTTTTATCTACAAAAATTAAAATTTGTTGTCTACAAAAATTAAAGTATTTGTCTAGAAAAATAAAAATTGCTTCAGCAAATTTCTAAACATTCAGCGTGTCAAAATGGTTAGGATAGTGATTAAAGAATTTTTGATGATAGAGTGTAATCAGGTGTGTTAGCGTGAATTTCCTGATTTACGAACAAGCTCGACCGCGATAGTATATCTCGCTCAAATATCGGAAATCGGTCCATTGTGCACAATCGGATACGCGTTGACGATTCGAAACGTACCGCGAGAGCGGTATTTGCGATACGATCGTTTCCGCGATTTCATTTAACCGACAATTAATCGAACAAAAGTTATTTTAGTTATTACTATCGAGTTTGGCAGGAAATTACCGATTGCGTTTTTTTTTCAATTTTTCGAATAGAAGTGTACGGAAACGATTTAACGTCGCAGTTCGTGTAGAACATAAGACCTTAGATCAATATATTCAGCATCAATATTTCAGGATTCCGGCAATCGATATCGGCGTCTCAAAAGTACCTTCACCCCTTGCACTATTTTAAGTGTGATTCGTGGCGCAAATCTATGATTAATTTTAGACTAATTTTTAATATACTTCTATTTGGAGTCGTGACGCACTTGTTCAACTATGATCAATGTTACTCAAATTCTTAATATTCTTCCACTTGGAGTTCCAGTCTAATTATTACTAAACAATTGATATCAAATTGACATAACATCGACACCTGAAAAGTCATAGTCCAAGTTAATATTTCGTTTTTGTACAATATTGAAAATGTTCATGAAATAAAATTGTACACTGCTTCAATAATTTTTTATGGACAGTAATTTTTGAAATATGCAAAGTCACAGTACTCTGCAATTGACTGTTTAACGATCGTGTACTTTCAAACACAGCCTGTACCGGTCGAAATTAAAATCGGGTTGTTTGGAAAAAAATAATCGCTCGTGTCGTATCCACGAATTCACGATTATTTCTCCCCCGCCCTTGCTCGCACGGGACGAACAGTTCGCCGGTGTTTTCAACGCGAAACTTTATGGAAATTTCGGTTGCCCAAGCTCGCAGCAAGTGCTTCGTTTAAATTTCATTATCTCGAACACCGGCTAAATGACACGTTCCTCGTTCCCAACGACCCGAGTAAAACTTACCTAGTCGTGTCGTAAACGAATTAGATGATAACAATTGTCGTGTGCGTCGTTGTAGCTCCGAATCCAAAAACGATAAAAATAGGGAGCATAATGCAGATTTCGAGTTCTACATTTATAGCTTTAATTTATTACTTTAACTTGTAAAATTAACTCTTTATCATACTGTATCGTAACGCACTCGTGACGCACACTACATTCTTAAACAACAAGACTCGTATTTTCATCGCAATTGAATTTTGTATTCACTTCCAATTATCTTCACATTCTAAGATCAATACGTCTACATACAATACGTCTCTAACTTTATTTTTCTCTATTCTTTTATTCTTCTCGTCTTCATATAGTAACAATAATTACTCATTTGTGTATGACGCAACATCCTAGAAAATTGTAGGTTAAGCGGTTGAAGACTGCTTGACAACGAAACATAAAATTTCCTCTCGTCCAAATTACCTTCTCTTTTTAAATTAAATTGTTCAAGTTTATTATAATATCGTATATTACCTTATTTATTTAAAACGGTTATGATGGACTATTTATAAACGTACCGTAATGCAAATCAGTGAATAATAAAAATGCGAAGTTACATGATAACGTAAACAAAGTTCATCTGGTCGTGAAGAGCGCGACAACTTCAGGCGGATGCTAATTCCGCCCTTTTCTCCCTGACGCGATTATTCGTCTAAAATTGAACGTCAAGCGTAGGCGAGCATCCAGTTGCTATTTTTGCCCTTGTTATCCGGGTAAATAGTATCGACGCGATTATTTCAAAACGCATTTGAAACGGACAAGTTTGAATAAGTAATTTATTCGTGAACGGAGAACGGGAACGCTCGATGGATACGCGACATAAAACGTTACTATGTGTGTCGCACGGATAAACAGTTATGTCGCGTATCATGCATATTAATATTTATTAACCTAACTACTTTTTGATATCTATATTCGATAATTATTGTTTCCTGTCATTTGCACGTGTCATAGAAGTACCAAATTGTAATTAGTGGTTGATAGAGTAGATAATGAAAAAGTAAAACAATTAATGCGTTCACTGGCACGGTGAAAACGAACTCGTATAGTATGACATACATATAGCAGAGCCGACACTAGGGCCTGCGAGGCCCGGAGCGGGAGACAGGTCACCAGAGTGTAACTAACTGTACAGTGATCGTCGAAGCCCTATCAACAAGAATTGAAATTGAACTTTCTACAGTTCTGAATCAAAAATTTCTGAATGTAACTTCTACATTTTCATCTTCATTTATAAACTGCGCCACTTCCGCGACGATCAACGCGTTAAACGTCAAAATTACTGTAACGTGACATTGACCGTCAAAGTGTTAACTTCTTTGTGAAACGGTTTCACTATGTCAGTAACTGAGAATAAATCAGTTATGAATAAACTTCTCAATGGGTTTGCACTTTACATTCCGTATACAACACACCTACTACGATGACTATGTAATCTTGCACATGCACCACGCGCAATATATAAAACGAATATAAAATTGGATAATAGAAGCACGTCGTATAAAACACGGGATGAGCGCCACTGACTAGATGTACCGATGATTTAAAACACGTTCCGTTAAATCACATACGTATGCACATATTAGAACTGTCTATCCGTGGGATGAGACCCGCCACTCCCGCGAATCCCACGGCTAAAAAATGCCTGTGGCATCTGTGACATAACCTATCTTGGCTTCGTTTGGACATGTACTAATCATAAAAATGAGCGCGCGTCCTTTTGTTTCGCACAAAGTGTTCCTACTATATTTTTCACACCGTAGACGCGTACAACGTGGTAGCAAACGATGCTCTTTAAACTGAACAGCTTGGAGTTCAGAAAAGGGAAAACTTTATAACATGCGACTCGTACGCGTGGTATGGTCATTGATGCATCAGGTGTCAGTCACCTCGAAAGGGTACGCGAGTCTCACGTGTGCGCCTTCCATGTACGACCGACCTCGAGAGTGATCTCGAAGCACGTGCCTCGATACAATTTCCTCACAGCTCACGTACACACGTATAGAACAACGTAAAATTAAGACTCACCAATTTTTCAGGATAGATATGTCGTGACGGATTCTCCTTGCTCTTCCTTCGTCCGTCGTTCTCCTTGCACGTCCTCTGTACCTTTCACCGTTTCGCAACGTGTCAGCGGAGGAATTGGTCGAATAGCACGGATCCGGGACAGTCACTTGTCACGAGTGTCGAACACGAGGATCACTAGAACGAAACTCGACGACGTGGAGAAACGTCGTTCACGATCGTACCGGTACGATCACACTCCGAAACGCGCTACGAACACGACTGCTCCATGCCGTGCCATGGATCAGCTGCTACTACCGCAGCGCTGCCGCGCGTTGTGGCACGCGAGTGAACTAAGGAGTGGGGGAAGGGCGGGAACGTGACGGGCAAACACGCTATTGGTTCAATTTCGAGGTCGAGATCTGTGCACCGACCGAGATTCAGCAACAAACTGTTTCAAAATTATAATTGTGTACTTGTTCGATGAAAAATCTTCGTAAAAATTCGCTAAATTCCATTTAACCCCTTCAAACATCACTTGTTCCAAGGAACACCTTGCATTATTCGAATCACAGACTGATTAATAATAATGAATTTTGGACTGAAGACATTACTGTAGTAAACTGATGTCATTTCTTAATTCTGCAAATTCCTGGACACGTATAATGTATCCGAAAAGTATTGTTATATGTTCTAAAATCGGAAGAGAATAAATATTTACATAATAATGTATAAAGGACTCGAATGAGTTAAGGAAATACTTTTTTAAAATTGTTAAATTAAAATAGATCACGTCATAAAAATCTACCTTTCTTATTTCATAATGAATGCTCCTTTTCCTTCTATTTACTCCCTTTTTGTATTTATTTCATACGTGTAATCACTTAACTGTGTCTTAAATTGGCGCCAATGTCGCCTTTTTATAACTGAATTGCTCAGCTGCGCACTATTCCCTCTTAAAATTTGTATTCACGTACAATTAAATTTTTGTAATTGCTTGCTTTGCACAACAATGAAAGAGTACATAACATTATAGTACAGCAAATATTATGATAATCTGAAGATGTCATAAAAGCCACCTTTTTATGTATTTTCATGCGCGCGCTGCAAATTGTATCACTATTGCCACCTAACGGCGCAGGTTCAAAAGAGTGAAGCAGAAAATTGCTGCTCTTTTATAGAATAAGCAGGTTTCACATTCAATTGACTAGAAAAGAACAGTTCCACAGTTTTAATGTAATTCACATAATAACATCATAATTGGATCAAGACAATAAAATCGAAAATTTAAAAAATTATATTTCCAAGTTCGGAAATACTATTGCCATCTACTAAAGAATACCGGCACTAAAATATTTTGAAGTCCATACATATTTGCCTATGTTTTCATTTTGTTAAATGAGTGCATCAGGATGAATTAAAGCTGTTGAAAGTAATTCATATAAAAAGACGCACATAATATTAATTTTTGAATTTTGATCTTGATGTACCAAATACTGGTATCAAAAAGCAATTTTGTTTGTGCTCATTTCATCATTTCATACTAGATGACACTGTCAGCATTACTGTCGAAACGTTTGCTTCATCGTGCAATAATGTCATAAATACTTTAATATTTACATAATACTTAACAGCATGTATTGAAAAATTATACTGCATTATGCAATGATAATGTACATAGATAATTAAAGTTGAATGTATCTTAAATGTACAAACATATTGTATCGTAAACTGTACAGGTGAAGTATTGCTATATAATGTTCTTATTTTCAGTTCAATGTAATCATTATATTTTATTTTTGTATGCAATATAATATGTTTTATTTGTAGCTTTTCATACATGCATGTATAGAAACACAAGGGTATTAAATCCCACTCTCAAGTTCATTTCATCGTAAAATAGCTTCGACCTAACCTAAAATTTTAGTTCCATTACCTATTACAATTGACGATCATAAATCTAGAAATAAACTATGGCTTGTGATACAAGAATAATATGTTTCCAACATTGCTGCTCGAAGAGCATATTTTGTAAAAATGTTCCAGAAACCTGTCCAATTTGTGAAATATATATTACAGAATATAAGGTTGATCCCTTCCTTGTCCCATATCCTTATAAAAATGCAACATATCAACCAACTTCTATAATAGTGAGACCATCCCAAGGTGATTTCTTAAGTGACTATCATGTTGCTAATGATTTACATATAGGAATAACAAATTCTGATGGAATTATTTTTGAATACGACAAACACGGAGTTATAATAAATGATTATTCAAAGTGGACAAACTGTATTGCATTACAGATTGTCCCATCATCTTGGGATGATCATTGGAACGAGACATTGAAAATAATGTTAAAAAGTACTAAATGGAAGTCTGATAATTATGATGAAACTTCAATGAACTGCTTTAATTTTGTCATAGAATTTTTAAATAATTTACAGTATATAAACATGAAGTTTACAAATAAAGAAGATATGTGCAATGAACTGATATTACCAAAAATCCAAGAAGCAATTAAATATAATACTTTGTTTAAGAAGCTAGAAAATAATGCATATTTTATATTGTAAAAGACTATTTTTCTATTTGTACCTCTTAATATTGTTCGTATAAATATAAATGTAATACATATTAATTTATCATAATAAATTTATTTTATTTATTATTGACACATGTAATACATGAAATATTTTATTTGTTACCCTAGGTTATCTAACAGCAAAATGAGTTATAAAAGTATTAGATTATTTTCAAATTACAAAAAAGGACTTCTTCACTTAGTAAGGAATGCTTCATCTAGCAATGATCAGTATAAATTTGATGTAATTGTTGTTGGTGGTGGTCATGCTGGAACAGAAGCTTGTGCTGCTGCAGCCAGGATGGGTGCAAAGACATTACTAGTAACCCATAAAAAGAGTACAGTAGGTATGAATTATATATCTATCTTAATAGAAAACACAATTCAATACATATTATAATTTTGTTATAGGGGAAATGTCATGTAATCCATCCTTTGGTGGAATTGGTAAGGGTAATCTCATGAGAGAAATTGATGCCTTAGATGGGGTTTGTTGTCGTATATGTGACATTTCTGGTATTCATTACAAAGTATTGAATAAAAAAAAAGGGCCAGCTGTATGGGGTTACAGAGCACAAATAGATCGTGATTTATACAAAAAACATCTTCAGGCAGAACTGTTTAATACACCTGGGCTACACATATGCGAATCTTCTGTTGAAGATTTAATTATACAAGGAGATTCTCCAAATTGTTGTGGAATAATTCTTAGTAAGTACTGGATATCCTTATTTCGGAAACGATTTGTAATGTGCAAAACTTATGTTATAGGAGATGGAACAAAAGTATATAGTGATGCAGTTGTTATAACAACTGGTACCTTCTTAAAGGGTCAAATCAACATTGGTCTAGAAAAACGACCTGCCGGTAGATTAGGCGATGAACCTAGCATCGAACTAGCTAACACATTGGAAAGGATTGGATTTAAACTGGGAAGATTAAAAACTGGTAAATATCCTATATGTTTCTGTATTATACTTCACAACATTTTCTAAGCTTTTTGGTGTTTTTGTAGGTACTCCACCACGAATAGAAAAATCTACCATAGATTTCTCTAAATGCATACTAGCACTTCCTGACGAAATATCAACACCTTTTTCATTTATGAATGAAACGGTGTGGTTGCCGGTAGAAAAACAGTTAAACTGTCACATGACATTTACCAACGAGAAGGTGGCAAAGATCATAAGAGACAACATGCATTGTAATTTACACGTTACAGAAGAGATATCGGGCCCACGATATTGCCCTAGCATAGAAAGTAAGGTGCTAAAATTTTCAGCGATTCAACATCAAATTTGGTTAGAACCCGAAGGAATCGATTCGCCTATAACCTACCCTAGTGGATTATCTTGTACGCTGCCAGCAGAAAAGCAAGAAGAGCTTATCAAGTGTATTCCAGGATTAGAAAACGCTAGGATGTGTAAGTATTATTAATATTTAAGTACTTCTGGTGGCTTCAATATATCTTGTTCGATTTATTTATAGTGAGACCGGGTTATGGGGTCGAGTACGATTATATAGATCCAAGAGAATTGACAAATAGATTGGAAACGAAGAAGATTCCAGGATTATTTCTGGCTGGACAGATAAATGGTACAACCGGATACGAAGAAGCAGCTGCTCAAGGAATTGTAGCTGGTGCTAATGCAGCAGCCAAGGTCTATATATTTTTTTGCGTATTCTATAAATTTCCTACAGGAGATTCACGCCTTTTTTACATGCATTTTTCAGGTGCTCAATAAAACACCGTTGATCATAAGTCGAACAGAGGGTTACATCGGCGTCCTCATCGATGACCTAACTGTCCTAGGTGCAAGCGAGCCGTACAGGATGTTCACCAGTCGTGCAGAGTTCCGCTTGAGTCTGAGGCCAGATAACGCGGACAAAAGACTTACCAGAAAAGGATATGAAACCGGTTGCGTATCAGAGGAACGAATGGCGAAAACGGAGAAAATCCTGTCGAGACTGGAAGAAAATCTCGAGTTGCTCAAAAGTGAAAAGCGATCGATTTACAAATGGAGACAACTGTTCAATGCCTCACAGAGTAGAAATGCTGTTACGAAATCTGCGTTTGATATACTACGTACAGTTGAAATAAACTTGACCATCGATATGCTGATTTCTGCGCTTCCAGATCGTTTCGGACACCTTGCAAAGGACCCGATTATCGCAAAAAGACTAGAGGTTTGAGAACATTTTCTTGTTTCCACGATCCATCGTGTCTCGTTACGAATAATATGAGCAAATCAGTACAGATCCATTGCTAGTTATTATGACCAATCAATTGATCTTGTAGATAGAAGCATTATACGCGTTAGGCATCAAGGAGCAGCAGCAAGAGGTCAATGAAATTCGCAAGAACGAGCAGATGATCATACCACCAAACATAGACTACAGCTTGTAAGTTGAATAATACGAAATGAACGTTAACATCTATCAAGAACAATCATTCTTTTCAACGATTTATTTTAGACCTCGATTAAACTTGTCTACAGAGGAAAGAGAAAAACTATCAGCATTGCAACCATGTACGGTAAGTATATATAATAACATTATTTTATATTATATTATATCTGTTACTTCTATATTGTAGATTGCAGCAGCTAGTCGAATATCAGGCGTAACTCCCGGTGGTATTTTACGCCTGATATATTATTTAAAATCAACTGTAATGAGCGGCGCATGAGCCATGATTGATCTGAATAAACAATTTACTCAATCGTATTCGTCGTACGTATTTCTGTCCTTCATTCATTTCAGTTAATGCGGTAACTAAAAATAATCCCGATACGTGATCGAAACGAAAGCAAGCTACCGGCTAAAACGTTGAACCAAAGTCTAGAGCGACCCAAATTCTCCGAATGTCGCTCAACTATCGCGAGCAAATGTTCGATTTACTAGTAGAGTAAACATAAGGTTATTGCCCCCGCGTTTTACCACCGGATGCACCATACTAGCACTCATCGATCTTCTCCAAATAGAAACTTGTCTGCTATTTGACAAGTATTATCGGAAACCATTGTTTGGACGGATGTCTACTGCGAAATTATTCATAATGTCCGTTTAACATAGTTTTAAATATACCTCGTATATCATGTATTCGGTCAGAACGCACGAAATCCGATTGTAGACGTACTTGTAAACTCCATTCGTCTAATAAGATTGCTTACAATGCGGTCGAAGTTTCCGTTTCGCCTAACATAGCTAATGTCAGAGTCCATAACATGGAAGTTGCCTGATTGAATTAGGAAGGGTTCTGTCCACCTTCAAACTTCTCACTACCGAATTGATGAAGCATACTCGGAGTAAACGTCGTTACGAGATTACCGGAGTAATCAATTTACGTGACCGTACGCGTGTACAGTTGCTCTTTCGTCGTTTCGAATCTTGGACTAAAACAAATGGTATGCAAGTCCGGTCGCGAGCAAACTTAGTTAAGGTCCATGCTCTATACGTGAGAGGGCAGAAGGTTATAAAACACCCAAATTTCTAAATTCGATCTACCAAGACAATGTAAAGGATGGGAGATCTCTTTTAAGGACTTGTATAAAATTATTTTTGGAGATAGAAGTCAACGATACGAAAGATAAAAATTGAGAACGGTAAACTTACTAACAGTTATCATTTATTATACCATTAGTGCGATAGTAAATACTGTTACAATACATTGTACAGGAATGGTGTGTACGATCGGCCTTAGTACAGGGTCGTTGTAATCGTAAATCCTCTACCACGATGATAATTGGCTGTTCTCTACATGGTTAATCGAGCCAAGACGAGTTCGTCGCAAACTTGTCTTTAATATGCTCGACGAGTTAATACTATTGTCTCTTTATATAGCCTCCGTGTCGCCGAAGAATTCTTCTTCTCGATATACATATAACAATTTCTACGACGGAACAGTTTCTTTTCTCTACTTCCTCGATGCTGTCGTAAAAAATATACAAAAAGTGACAAACTATTTTGGCCAAACCGCGAAGAATACAATGTTGAAACTAGCCTCGAGCTTCTCATTTTACCAAACGTATTTTTATCGGTATATTATTAATTTCTTCTTTATATTTAGCATATAATAGTTTCAAATGGACGACTTTTTCATGGTACATACATTCAACATTGAATTTTCCACGGTACGAAATTACATCGTGAAGGTACGAGGTTCTCGATGACTATGAATATATTGACAAGCGATTGAAACAGGAAAAGATATCGGAAACACGATCATGTCGTCTTAACTCTTTTGCTCTGAAAAATGTACACGGTGTGACCTCGAAAAATGAATATTGAAGTGTGAAGAATATCATAGTTAAAAGTATAATATTTTTCAGAATGCAATCAAACTCTGATAATTTCGAAAAATAACTCTAATTACAGTACTAAATTTCATAGTTAGTGCAGAGGACAATTGTGTATCGTCAGCACTCTCCACGTCAACGTCCAGTCGTCACCAATGCATTCTGTCCACGGTGAGCATATTTTGTCACAAACGTGTCAGAGCCAAAGGGTTAAAGCAGCCTGATACGTAAGCAATAAATCGTAATCGATTGTCTTCTACCATAAATAAATTGCTTTAATAACAAATTCTATCCGACACTAATATCCATATAACTAAGTAAACAGTGCTGTACAATAAAAAGGTTTATCGCTAATTACTCGCCAATTTATTCGCAGTTTTAATCACCGTAATTTCTCTTCCACCTCTCGTACCCTTCTCGTGTTTCACCTTAATACTACTTTTATACTGGCAAGCTACCGTGTACGTTTATTATTCCTATGTTTACTTGTACGTGTGTATGTGTATATACTATACTTCTCTTATCGTTCCATACGCCAACAACGACTACTTCGAATAAATTAATTTAAGGCTACGTCTGTACCTTGCTTCATCGATTATCCTACCTATCCGACTAAACACTATTATTACGAACGCTGAATATCGAGTTCACCGTACATTGCGAGTCCTTGTTGTGATCAGCTTCCATAGAAGGAAGAGAATCTTGTTTTCAAACCGCAAAGCTGGTAACAGCAAGAACGTCAATAACTTACATGTTTATGCGCGTTACGGTAGCGTTATCGTTCTTAGACTAACGCGACTCAACGCTGTAATTACAAATATGTAATAATATTATAACGACGAGGAGTATGTTATCTACAAGGATGCGATGGCGAGCGACGATCGATGCGAAAGGACGCGAGTCGGTTTTTATTCCAATTTTTATTCCCTTCGTTGAACGAACATTTGTCAAACTAAATCAAATTATCGTAAACAATGTTAATTTTAATATTTGAAAGTTCGTGGAAAAATGCAGGGATTTAAGCCCTCAGGTCGAATGTTTCACCCATTACGCCAACACATAAATAAATAACGAAAATCCGACCCCGTCATTTACCAGTTAATTGATCTTTGAACGCGTGTCAGGTGGGAAATAAAAGGGAAAAATGTCGACAATTCGTGCGAGCAAAAAGGTTGCCGCCGCGTCGTTACACATCGTTCGAGCGCGATTATACACAGCGAGGGATTTATAATCGAGTTAATGCTCGTTGATACACTAATTACACGGTGCGGTTCACACACACTTCACATTGTCACGCGATCATTTGTAACGTGCACACGCGATGCGAACGCAAGTCTCGTCAAACAGTGCCGTAATTTTTATCGTTCATTGGTCGCACGTTATTTTGGATCGAGGAAATTTTGACGACGTTGCGTTCCACCCTCATTCACGCACAGAAGAAAAGGAACTAATATGGTTTTCGAAACTATCCGTCTCCGAGTGGAATCCATTTTGTCTTTCGATTTTGAATTACGAACAGGAGTCAGTAAACTTTTCAGATGAAATTTTTAATGGTTCCGTATGTCCATAGAGATTTCATTCTACAAAAATCTGCTCAGTTCGCGAAGCGTACAAATGTTTAACATCTGGCCTCGTAGAGGAACGAGTTTACTAACTCCTGTTAGAGATAAGGAATATAGTGTAATGCAGGTTGAAATCAGTTTGTTATCGTGTGGATCTTCGCACAGAGTCCAGATAGTTTCGACTAACATGAGAACGAAGAATAACACGTGGATCAGTCTCTTGAATGCACCTGAAAAAACAATGACAATGACAATGATTACTCTACTCGCGGCGATGACCGCGTACTTGTGCTCTAAAGAATAGCAAACTCCAGTGCGAGGTACTCTAACTCTACGTAAACGCGAGACGGTTTTTATGCGGTGCTTGCTTCCTCGTTTTTCCACAAATTCCTCGACGATTCTTGCATTAAAAACATATGTCATGTCCTTGAAAGCATTAAAGCAGTCGTATCAAAAATCTGCATAAACGTAAAGAACGCAAGAAATTCTCCTTGAAGTTGTTAGGTAAAAAGTTTACACGAACGCAAAAACTTTAGAATTGTGCGAAGTCGTCGAAAGGAAAATGTCAAGATCATTATTTCACGGCGAAAGCTCGATTAATTGATCGATGCATCGTGAATGAATCTGTCGAGGAATGTGATCGGAAGTTGGACCGGAAATCGCGCAAATGGTCGCACGCGATGCAAGAACCGTGGAGACTTCGCTCGGCCTCCGGTTGGTTCTCCATTGTATACAGTTCGGCACATTGAACACCACGTTTGGAAGGCATTTCAGAAGGCATTGAATTCCTAGTGTGTATTGTCACGAGTTCTCGTCGATTATGCCCTGACCTACCTACGTATTTCGTGTAAGCGTGACTCATTTCGATGAAAAAGAAACAAAAGTCCCGATCGATCATCGTGCGATTCGTCGCGAACTTGAGCGTGATACGACGAGAATTTCATTGCTTTTATATTGTTCGATCAGTTAACGCCTTAAGTCGGTATTCCGTTATTCGTAATTCAACTAAAACGTTTCCTCGGCATCGATCAAATGAACAACGAACGAAACTCCGTTTGACGCTATCGATTCGCAACAAGTACCAACTTAAGGGGTTAAGGTGTTTGCGATATTAAAAAGTATAAAAAAGAACGTTCGATGCTTCGTTGTGCTTCAATGAAATTATGGATATAATCTGTAAATTCTTATCAAAAGTTCCTGCAGAGGTGTTGAACATGTGTTCGCTTCGATTTTGGCAGTATAGATACACTTTCTTTTTACACGAACCGCTGACAAACGGCGTGTTAGCTGGTTACATATAAGTTGTCGTTGGACGACGTTTTGCGTCCAATGGAATATCTGTAGGGTCATCTATGTTTCGTTCTTTTAGTAACAAAACGTAACAATATTCGAATAATGGTGCTTTTACAATTAGTAAACTGCTAATGACTGATTGCAACGTACACCCTCCCAATGTTTATAAAAGTGCAAAAATCATTATTATAATGAGAAGATGGTGCGAAAGTGTAGTTGTCCTTACGTCTGCTTAAACTTAGCTAATCGAGAAGCCGATATCGAGACGAGGTCACATTGTAAAAACTCTTAATGATAATGGCAGTCACTATTGTAGCCGGTTACGGTGTCGATGTAAATTTATGCCGAAGGAAATCGAACGGCGATCGCTCGCGGCTTTAGATACGCTCCACGAATAATGAAGAGAAGAAAGCTCGGAGTTCGTGGTTCGTCCTTTCCTAGTACGGTGACAGTGAACGCGGGTCAAGGTCATTGCATGCTTCATCGAATTTACTGTCCTGATTATTCAGTCTTTCGAGTCGCTCATGAATATGCAGCATTTTTGGTCCCAATCGAATTATTCTTCTGTAAAATAAATACGAATCGAATTCAATTTTAAACGAACTACGACATGGATGTGCCGAGTCCTTGCATAAAAATGAAGAACTCAACGACAGACCCTGGTTATTCTACGCGTTAACCGTTCACCACGCATAACATCAAAATCATCTAACATTAATTTAAATTATTACAATTTTATAGTCTTACAATACTAAGGTATAATTATCTTAAATAAGTTATCGTAGGTCAACTACACCAGCAAAATATTTATTCTTAAGAGTATTTTTAATTTAGTATAATAATTAATCTTCCGCCGGAAGGGATTAGAAAGAAATTCAATCACAAGCTTTCGGTTTTAAAATCGCTACGTAATAGCCAACGAAGAAGATAATAACGTAATTTGAACGCAACAAATGATCGATAATAACGTCTCTCCTCGATATCGTTCTCCGTAATAACAGACACCAGATTCTCGTGTACTCAATTAAGATGACCCCACAGCACGCAAAAGTCAACGCAACTCGACAGCGCGAATTACGATCTTAACGCGAAGCGTACTCGAGCGACTCTAGGGAGCTCGAATCGGAAGGACGGGGTTCTCTACGAATATTTGTCGCTTCGCGTTGTTTTCTCCGCTCTCCATTGCGTTGTCTAGCGAGACAATGAACTATTCAAAGTGACAAGCTGTCGTTGTACCGTTTTCTACGCGCCCAAGTCCACGGGGAAGGGCGTCCTTGGTCGACCACTTCTGTCTCTAACCAAGGTCTACGACCTCTAGAGACAAGAATTTTCGAGGCCTACTAGAATTTGCCGCGGAAACGTGTCTCGTCGAAGCGCAAAATCATCCGGAACGGGGATGATCGGTTAAACGAGACGCGATGCCGAGCGCGAAGCTCACGATCTCAAGGTCGACGACCCTCTAACGCGATCAGCGAAGCATTCGACGAAGATTCATCGTGTTCGAAGATCGATCAAACGAGACGTCGCAAGAAATCCACGGAAAGGGTTCTGCTCGGCCGGCATCGATTCATCACCCGCTTCGTATACAGTGCTCTTTCCGCTCTGTAAGCTTCCGTGTCTGGTTGTGCGTCCCTAGAAACACACGTGGCTAGCTCTGCGTCCCGCTGTCCTGATTATTCAGTCTTTCGAGTCGCTCATGAATATGCAGCATTTTTGGTCCCAATCGAATTATTCTTCTGTAAAATAAATACGAATCGAATTCAATTTTAAACGAACTACGACATGGATGTGCCGAGTCCTTGCATAAAAATGAAGAACTCAACGACAGACCCTGGTTATTCTACGCGTTAACCGTTCACCACGCATAACATCAAAATCATCTAACATTAATTTAAATTATTACAATTTTATAGTCTTACAATACTAAGGTATAATTATCTTAAATAAGTTATCGTAGGTCAACTACACCAGCAAAATATTTATTCTTAAGAGTATTTTTAATTTAGTATAATAATTAATCTTCCGCCGGAAGGGATTAGAAAGAAATTCAATCACAAGCTTTCGGTTTTAAAATCGCTACGTAATAGCCAACGAAGAAGATAATAACGTAATTTGAACGCAACAAATGATCGATAATAACGTCTCTCCTCGATATCGTTCTCCGTAATAACAGACACCAGATTCTCGTGTACTCAATTAAGATGACCCCACAGCACGCAAAAGTCAACGCAACTCGACAGCGCGAATTACGATCTTAACGCGAAGCGTACTCGAGCGACTCTAGGGAGCTCGAATCGGAAGGACGGGGTTCTCTACGAATATTTGTCGCTTCGCGTTGTTTTCTCCGCTCTCCATTGCGTTGTCTAGCGAGACAATGAACTATTCAAAGTGACAAGCTGTCGTTGTACCGTTTTCTACGCGCCCAAGTCCACGGGGAAGGGCGTCCTTGGTCGACCACTTCTGTCTCTAACCAAGGTCTACGACCTCTAGAGACAAGAATTTTCGAGGCCTACTAGAATTTGCCGCGGAAACGTGTCTCGTCGAAGCGCAAAATCATCCGGAACGGGGATGATCGGTTAAACGAGACGCGATGCCGAGCGCGAAGCTCACGATCTCAAGGTCGACGACCCTCTAACGCGATCAGCGAAGCATTCGACGAAGATTCATCGTGTTCGAAGATCGATCAAACGAGACGTCGCAAGAAATCCACGGAAAGGGTTCTGCTCGGCCGGCATCGATTCATCACCCGCTTCGTATACAGTGCTCTTTCCGCTCTGTAAGCTTCCGTGTCTGGTTGTGCGTCCCTAGAAACACACGTGGCTAGCTCTGCGTCCCGTCCGTCGGATCCCGTGGATCTCTGTTTACGGGAAGTTCCTGCGCTTTGGATCTCGAAAGCGCCAGGGTTCGATGCTTCTTTAACAGATGGTTTCCAACGGAACGGTCTTCGTGCTGGGATTCTGAGTGACGCTGTCGCCCATGCTGGGCATGCCGTGACTGGTGGTGCTTAGTCCGTTTCCCTGCCTTTCGGCGTTCGTTCTCGGGTTTCGGTTGCAGATCCTCTTCACCGCAGCGCGGACCTGAGGCTGGCAGCCGACCACCGCGAAGATCAGCACTCCTTGGAACGCGTTTATCATGTCCGTGAAATACCAGATGTACTGCGGACCTCCGACTGCCCATGAGACCACGTCCGCTACCCAGGTGACGCCCATCACTACTACCAGTTTCATGCATACTCGACCGAGCGCGGCTCTGGAACAGAAATGTTTTGTTTTTTCAAATACCTGCAGATAGCAGCTTCAGCGGACGACGTATTCCTGAACATGTAATTTCTATCGAAATGTACTCTTATTTTCTGTTACTCCTTATATCCTCGTAGCATGGTTTCTAGTTCGCATAACAGTACTACGAGTTTCGACAACTGGGTTCGAGATAATCGTAGCTTTGATAAGGACTCGCCAGTAAATTGAGTTAATTAGACATCGAGCGAGATTCTATTCGTATAAACGAGCTTCTATTACGTATGTTGTAATCTTTCAAATGGTGAGAGAAGGTTTATTGGGTTTAAAAAGGAGGATCACCGATGGTCCGGATAACTTAATTGGTTAAAGCAGTCGCACGGGAAGCAAAGATACGGGTGGACGTCGAGCGAGACAAGCTTTTTTAAAGAACCTAAGAATTTCAAGAATTATCCACAGTATAGACTCCCAAATTCCCTTTAGATTTATAGTATCTTTAGAATTTCAAAATCATAAATAGATTCCCCGGAAAGTACGACGTTTACAAATTTCCCGAATGTCGTTCATCAACGATACCGCAAACGCTGGCGACGAATTTCCGGTGACAAAAACGACCCCGATTCAATTAGCGCAGCGTTCAATTACGACGGGCATAAATCAGCCCACAAACGTATCCGTTTGTTCGGCATGACACGTTGCATCGCGCATAATGCATGCATCGCATTGTGACCGAAGTCAAAGCATTATTAATTCGTTCCGGCAGAGTATTCGCAGCCCGTTACGGTGTTGTGTCGCGAAATTATACCATTACAAAGGTTACGCAGTCCTCTTACCCTCCCGTCAGTTCTCGTCACCCGTACAACCTTGCATTTACAAATGTTTCAGACATTTCTTTTTTCATTACCATAGACGGCCGTGTCGTTTACGTCTGAATTTTATTTTCAAACAGCGCAATTGTTATATGGGGATGCATTGTCATGCGTTGCATAATCACGTATACATAATGTACGTCACGAGGACCTCCAGAGACATAGTTTGATTTGATTAGGGTGACAGCTGTAACCTACGCTGTTTCAGGAACATGTTGCTTTAACCGATCGCAACTCGCCTTTCTTACTATCCAAGGTTAATATCATGGGAACTGTACCGATCTTGCCAATCATTGCTTTGGATGAATTTTTTGCACCTACATCGATGGCGATATACCCTATTTTTGTATGAGTTTTTTCAGAGAGGGTGCTAGTCATTCTTGTCTGAAGGTGGCTATTTAACCCTGACGGAATGACAGCGCAGATTTTTTACAGCCTCTCGTAAAGTTTGAGGTAATTTTAATTTTCGTACAATCACCGCTTTCTCCGTGAATTAAAAACGAGTTCGTGGAAGATTTGGACATTTATTTCATTTACCTTCCCCCTCGGTAACGCGTGTAACACGATCCGGCGATGTTGTGACAGCCGTATCCTTCTATTCTCGTGCTTTCGCTAATTGTTACGAGCGGACAAGCCGCGATTTCCAGTTGGCGGTGGTTAAAAATAGTCGGGATCCGTCGACGACGCGAGAGAAGAGGAAACTGAAGGAAAAGCGGCGAGAAAGTTTCGTAGTTGTCGCGTGGAGCGTATAGAAACTCGAGCCGATTGAAACTACCGTCCAGATAGGCAATTTCGAACGCACCGCTTCTCTAAATACAGCCTCACTTCCGGGGTGAGGTCTGGATTATGAAAGTCAAATCAGCGGCGCGAACATTTGCGTAAAGTTTCACTATTACGCTTCTGGTTAATAGTCGACCGATTTTGAATCCAAGATGTTGCGAGATAGAAACCAACGGTTTGGTAAATAGAAGAGAATCTGATAACAAGTCGATAATTGGATGCTAACTATTCACGCGTCGATGGATAGAATTCAATCGAATTGCTGTTTGTACTGCAAACGGTTTATAGCTTTCGAGTTAAATTATATGAGATTTTTTGGAATATGCCGTCTGACGCTTAACGTAATGTTTATCTAAACTCGAATCTTTATGAGGATTCGTGCGTGATTCGCAGGTTAGATAATGGGTTAAGGAATGTAATTTTAAACGAACTGGCTCTGTTAGCGACACGCTTGTCAGTTCGCAGCCTTCTGGTCCTGAAGCTGCGTTAACGTCTGGACCAGAGGATTTCGTGACGGTGAATACGCTGGGCTCCGGGTCTAAAATTACTCGGGGAAGCCAACGTTTGCATTCGGAATTATGAATCACAATCACGGGTAATCTCGATTCTCCGTCGTTTAATGTAATTCAGCTTTTAACAAAATTCTCTACGTTCGTAGAGAACGCGGCCTCCGAAACGCAGAAATTCCCATACCTCTGAAAGCTTCTAGCGATGTTCCGCGTTCGAATGACACGTCATAACAATACGGCAAGCGGGAAGTTACGCGAGCCAGTGTTAATGGGAATATCGCCGTAATTTTCGCGTAAATAATGCAGAACTTTTATTATTGATCCACGGTTGCGAGGCAATCTGTGTATTATTGGAACGAACACGGCCGGTTGAAAAATTCATGGAAGCGTCGAGGCGTTGATCATTCGAAATCCAAACAGAAAGGTTTGTCGGTAATGATATGCGCGGAAAGCAAATTAGAAGCAAGGAGGTGAACTCGCGTGTGCCCAGGAACGCGCATACGTATGCTTCGGGGCAGGTGGGGACGAAAGGCGTGATAAGCATGAAAGTCGAAGAAAGGAATGCAAACAAACGGTCGATCACCTGTGAAACAGCTGCGAGCGAAAGAACCAGCATAAGCTCGATGAAAAGAATTCGACAGAAATCAAAGATAAGCGATTTTTGAAGTTGAAACGATGAAAAGCTTTTTGGATGCCAAACAAAAGCAAACAAAGCGGAAGAAAGATTTCTACCTTCTACAAAAGACTTCTAAATTTTTGAGCGTTTAAATATTCTTGGATGTATTCATTAATCCATACATAAATAGCTATCTCTGTTTTCATATTTTCTGTAGTTGTACTTTTTTGACGTTAAGATAATTCTTCTTTTGGTGCGTTTTCCTCAGAGCTAAATTACTGCTTTCGAACGGTTCGAAAGCATAACAAATGCGACGGAAAGATGAAAAGCGTGAAAAACGTAGAAGCGAACGAAGGGAAATCATTCACGGAATAGACAGTCGTACGCTCGCATTTTTATTCGATGCTCCAAATTAATGCCACTCTACGAGTTTCAAAAGAAGGCAGTTTCGTGGATACACCGACAGGTTAATTGACGTAACGAGACAGAACGGTGGATATGGATTGTTAGCGACTGACTGAGACTGGAAATATGAACGGCATTAATAGCAAAAAAAAAAAAGCATATGCGATGCGACACAGGGGTCGTCGATGCACGACTCGATCGCTCGTTACCCTCGCAAGAATAACGAGACGCGTTCAACGGAGACTATTTTGTTTGCTCAGATAAAGCTGACATTCTCGACGTAATCGTTACTAATCGCTATGGAGCAAAAAGGAACACGGCAGGAAGTAAAAAGTATCGTCGACGATTTACAAAATCCTTCGTACAGCTGTGTACAGGCAAAGCTGAGAATAGAAAAGAATGTTTCTCGTCGGTTTTAATGGATTAACGGAAAACAGATCAAACGCAGCTTTCGCATGATCAACGTTACGATTCAATTTCCTCGAACTGTTCTTTTCCGATTCCTCGGAACACAAGGAACGGCCAAAGGAATGTTACTCGTCTCGAGGATCCTGCCAGCCAGAAAAATTGAAACGATGACAGGGAAGGAAACGAGAAACGACTGTAGACGGACAGGCACAAAGTAAATTCATTTATTATGATCCGGAAGAGGAGATTAGCAACTGTACAGCGAACGGAGACAACCGAAATAATGTGGGTCTATCCGGTAACCGAGGTCGGTGGTGGCCGTTCATTTTTCTTGCGACTTTCGTTCACCAGAGTGCCCTCCATCCGGAATCTCACCGAGCCAGAGAAAACACAGGTCTCCACTTTGCGGCCCTTCAAATCCTCCAAAGAGAAACGACGACGAGACACGAGAACGAGATGCAACCGTCACTGCACCCCTTCCGCGATGCAGCTGACGGCCATAGCTCGTGTTTTATCGCGTTTACGTTCAATCGGGTAATCTTGTCGTTTACGGCCCCGGGCCGCTTCAAATGGACATTGCAGTTTTGATTGGAACCGCTGCGATAATTTCGACATTCCGTGTATTTGAATAACGAAATTGGCCTCGCGATTATTCGACTACATCTGTATTCCAAACTTTTCGCATATTCGAGGCTTTATAGCCATAATCTCGACGTCGCTCGAGTTTTATTCGCGAGACGTTTATTTTAACAACAACGTGGATTCTTTAAATCATAACTGAGGAAGCTGGCAGCGGCCTGTCTTCGTAGCAATTTTATGAATGAATGGGACGGAATTCTTGTTCGAACTTCTTTGAGATAGAAAATGTTTTATGGCAGAGTATTTTTACACTTCTGATTTGCATCCGTTGCTTGTTTTTCTGGTGACTTTAATTTTATGGATTAATTCAAAAATTGAGGAAAGTTTCGAAATCTTATTCCGTGTTATGATCAGTATTCCGGCGCAATTATTCTAAAAAAGAATTATTTAAACAAACATCACTAACATTCTGTAAAACACTGTTCGTCTCTGTTTCATAATCTAGAGAACGTATATTTTTGCAACATTATTTCGATAAAACAATCAAGCTGTACTATGAGAATAAATAAATGAGTTCATGGTTGAACTTGAAGTGGATCGTCTCCAAACTTTAACACTAAATCGTTCGTGCATAAGCCACGAAAATATTATTTTCCCATAGATAATGAAGTTCGTGAAGCGTCGAAAGAGACGGAGAAGCCAAATATTATCACGCAGATGAGTACGGGATGCGAAAAAATGGACAGGCAGCATCATGCTGCGAATCTCTATTCCGCTATTATAGCTCGTCCCTATCTCTCCCTATAGGCGCAGACAGAGGCGTACGTCCAAAAGAGAATCGCAAATTGAGATCGTCAATATCAATTTCGTACAGGTCGAGGGAGCAAAGGTGGTTCGAAGGGACGCTGGCGTACGAATGGAAAATAACGATTCGATGCCTGATATCTGTCGGCGCGGCAGTGATAAAATAAATTCTCCTTTGAGCCGACGTTACCGTGTGAAAAGGCTGTCGGCTGACGAGCATATATATATTAAATATCCGAAAAAATGTGATTCGTCAAACGACACTCGTTGCGCATCGCCGCTTCCATACGGTTCAAACACGAGGGTGAAAGAAACATTTCTGCGGAATTTTCTTTCGAGATTCTACTATTGGGGACCCCTTTATTCCCCTTTACTGCTGAAATTATAAACTGTGAAACCTTCTTTCTTTATTTATTAATTTCTAGTCTACTGGAAAGTCGATATTACGGAAAAAGATTTTATAGTTTTTACGTAGAGTTGTTGCAGTGTTTGTGGAGAATTTTATTAGGTAGATTGGATGAAACCGATGAAAGTAATTACTTGTTGGTTAATTTTTAAATATTGAATGAATTGTATACCTCTATAAATATATTGTAAGGTAATGAAATTATTGAAAACTGTTCTTGAAACGTAAATTCATTGTAAAGTGTAAATTTGACAGAAGGTCAGCTCATTATAGTTATTTTTTGAGCGTAACGAAAGGATGGAGTATGCAAAAGCAGTAACCCAGAGGGGTAAAAGTAAACGTCCCGAGGTTGAAGCCGTCTGGTGATTTCGATTATCCACGGGTAAACCACGATGGAACCAGTTATCCTTGATATTTATCGGCCCCGAGCGTTGTCTTTCGCGCCGAAATAAAGCGTCGTTCGCCAGCAGCGATAAAACGGGAGCGGCAGACGGTCGGTCTTCGTTATTCGATAACCCCTTTCCACGTTTCCGTTACTCGTTCCTGTGTTAATCGTTGTGTATCGTTTCGCCGACCGGAGCCAAATAAACGAGCTTCTTTAACTTTGCTACACCGTCGGTTTAAGCTCTCCGAGGTTTACCGACTCGCCGCGTAATCGTTTCTCCTTAAGCTTTCGCGGAGTTTCGTGAAAACACGCTTACACCCCACGGTAATTACCCCGCAAAGGTGCAACTTCGTATACTTCCCACTGTTTTCCACCTATTTTCGCGTGTTTCGCTTCCGGATTATGACGCGGTAATTCGAACTGGAACTTCGGAATTTGGGATAATGAAATTTTGGAAGTTAGTCCGAGAATTTGGTCTTCCAACACCGGGACTTGAAACTTCAGGAATTACCGATTTTGAAAATTTGCAATTTTTTAAGAGAACGAGTGCTTTCGGAAACTTCCAGTCTATAGAAACGTCTGTACCGCAAGTTACAACAGTTTCGAAGTTCAGTCGGATAACGAAGGTCACATTTTCGACAATTTGCGTCCCACGTCGACGATTAGGCTATCTCCCATCTAAAACGTCCATAAAGTTAGTGGATTTCCGAAGCTTTTAGCATCGTTTAGACTCTTAGGAAGATCTAGATCTTCCGCAAGACTGGGATGGTTCGGCAAGATTCTCGAGCCAGAAATAATCTGAGCATGGTATCGTTCGTAGCTAGGAAGCAATAGAAGAATCGAAGAAAATAAAATTTTCCATGCATTGATCTCGTATCCCGAATCATCAATTTTTCTCGGCTGTTCTTTAAGAACCTGTAAAAGCAACGTTCTCGGAAAGAATCCCGTAAATATTTAGCCGAAACAAAGACTGCGCGGTGGAACGAATCTCAGGCATGAATGCAAAATACGTTTACGAATCCCGCCCAGAAAGATTAAATATTTCTTTTTCCCGCGCAAATACCATCGGAACGAAGTCATATGCTACGAGGATATTTAGAGTTCTATATTTTTATCGAATTTTCGAGTCGTCAAAATTTTCGGGAATTCACTCACCTTTCCGTGGTGCTCTTCACGAATTCACCCTTCCACAACCCGCACGTCAGCTCGCGGGCGGTGGCAGCGAAAAACAGTAAATTCACTGCTAATAGAACGCCGATGGGTCCGAAAAAGTATGCCAGAATCTCCATATCACCTGTAACGAAAATAATGAATATCTCGTTAGTCTTTTATCGATAATTAAATTATGACAGTTTTCGTTGAAAAGATACAGCGATAGGAAAGTAACAGATTCGAATGTTTACTTGTTATATTAATAACGATCTATAAATCCTATCATAAAAGGATACAGGACGCTCAGTTCCAGGTAATTCGTATTAATAAAATTCTGAAGAAATCTCAGTTCTAAAGCGTCTAAACATAAGTTGTTTACCATTAAAAATTTGTTTACAAAGACGACACATAGATCGCAAATTGTTATCCCACGCTTGCCAAGTCTCTTTGTCGAGGATGAAAATTCTAAGCGAAGTTAGACCTGGAAACGCTCTAAATATCTGGATCTCCGCCGCTCTCGAGTTCGCTGGCGTGTTCAATAATAAACGTTTCGATCGCTTGAATGGCGAGCCAGTTTATCTTTACGACGTTTAATTCAAGCCAACGTGTTCTCGCAGCGGATCTCGATCTGTCGGATCTGGAAATCGCGAGAACCAACAGAGAGGAACCGAGGGATGCGTTCTCTCTGTTCGCCAATACCGGAAGTCACGGAGGTCACGTACGCTTTACCCGGATACCATTAAACTATTACGCGAAACACCGTTAGCCGCGGGGTGAGCAACTTTCATGCCAGATCGTCTTGTTTTCCTTATTATGCTTCCAACAATTTGCTTATCAGAATCGGGAAAAATATTAGGTGGATGCAACGTGTTCTCTCCCTTCGTTCGTTGCATCAAACATTACAAATGCAGCGTATCAAAGGTTAATTTACTCGAGTATTTGTATCTAAAAAAGAATTTGTCCAAGACATCACGGTAATAAATAATGAGGAAGAAATTTCTGTAGCCATTTTTCTCCGTGGAACGGGAATATCATCTTTCTCTGATGTTCCTCGTGACATACGACGTTGTAAGCATAGTTATTACGGTACAGACGAAAGATAGCCAACAGACTCTATTAAAATGTAAAAACAGGAGAAAACGAAGCCCAGAAAAAACACGTAGGTGTCGCGTTCTTTGTGGTAGTACTCTGTCCAAGGATAAATTCTTTCGAAAATAAAAAAATAATAACGACACTCACGCGAAATTGCACGAGTAGACGTAATAGTAGCTGCATTCCATGAAGTACAATTTTCTGGTTATTAATACGCGGTGTTTAAATATATCGTCTAAATTTATAGAATCGTTTACTAATGGCTCCCCAGGGCTTTATACGAGTAATTGCAATTTACGCGAACCATAGAGCGTCGAACGAAGGGTGTTTCCGTACGTCCCATCCTGAAACGTTATCCCCCGACATTAGAATGAAAAACGCGACGGGAGGACTGAAATTTGTCAACGATCGCAGAAAAAAAGGCGTGTAATCGTCCCGATAGCGGAGAAAAATCGTTTCCGGTAGGAATAGGTGCAAGGACGGATGGACCGAAATAAAGCGTAGCAAAAATTTCAGTGAATGCCGCAAATAGATCAATAATTCAGGAAGGCAGAATAAATCGTCGGACTTAAACCCGCTGACAGGAACAGTTTGTTTTCTTAGTCGGTAAAGCGAGCAACGAAATGACGGCAGAACGAAACGGACTTGTCATCGTTGTCATTGTTGTAGTCTCGCGCGCGCACCAGCCGGAAGCAGCGTTTCATTTCCGCGTACTTGTTACGTTAAGTTTATTTTCAAAGATTACATAATCCGAGAAGACGGTTGTACGATTAGACGCGAACAGGGAACGATAACGGTCGAAATTAATTTGTTAAGAGAAGCCAGCGGGGAGTTGTGGTCTGTTCATTTTAATTATTTCGTTCGATATTCTCGATATTCTGCCGCCCCGACGTTGTTAATTGGATCCATTTGTTTCCCTTTTCAAGATCCCATTACGAGCAGCCTGGGTTTTCGGATATTTCTCGCGGTTATGTTCCACCGTCTGTCATTACTCTCTTGCAGTTCCATTGGTTTGTTACGTTGTTCGTTCGTTCGCCATTTTCGAACGTGGTGCACGTAAAATGGACTCCAACCGCAGAGTATAGCTTATTTATCTATTTTGTTTACTTGTGTCCTGTCAGTCGATGGGTTATCGACTGCTGTATATATTTTACAATACTTCATACTTGTAGAAACAATAAAATCTTCCGGTAATTAAATTGCAAAGTGCATAATGATACCGCGATTAAATTTACTTTTTCTCCTTTGCGTTGAGGGAGTTGACTGATGACCTACACTTATCAATTAATCACGATAAACCACGAAATTTCTCCTCATCCTCTCATTCTGTTTCGAAGTAATGATATATAATTATCAAGTTCGTGATTTCTTGTCGAAAAGCCAACAAAACAAAAACAGGGGATACGATAGTCGGAACGTGAAGTTCCTGCAGCACGCAAAACCCGTGCTTTCGTCAAAATTACGGAGAATCACGTGAGCTGCTATCATGGCATAGTTGTTTCCTCCGTTCTTCGAGAACAGAGGAAGTACCCTACCGTGCACTCTACGGGCAGGAAACATTACTATTCGTTGGAAAATTTTCAACCGTAGAATTTTCGAGTTCATTCAACTTCCAAAAATGAAAGGCAAGCTTTTGGTCGAACAAAGGCGTAACAGTCGATCGTAAAATCCGAAACTTTAATATTAAATACATTTAATCGATCTCTACACGTAAAAACGTTGTAGCCGCGAACGAAAAACTTCCTATTAGAGGAAACGGCTTGTCAGCTTCAATTTTCCCCATCGTCGAGCGTGCTTTGACCGTAGAACATTCGATTCAAAGTTAAACGCTCTTTTATTCCCGCTTCTATCTCGATGTGGTCGTGATTTTATCGAAAGCGAACAAAAACCCGTTCGCGGTTGCGGTCGATCGGCAAACCTGCATTACTGATCGAATAAAGAATACAATTTATTTTTTTCCGCTCGTGGTTAACTGCATTTTCTCTTTTCTTCCCTCCTCTTTTTTACAAAATGGCTCTATTAACGCATCGCTGGTTCAGGAATCCGTGGTCGGTCCGTCATGGTAAAGGTAATAAAATTTTAGTCGGAACCACGAAACCCATTCCGCTCGGCGAGCACCGCGTGAATTTTATGGTAAATAAAGAACCATCCGATGCTTGGACCCGTTTATCGGACCAATCTCACTCCACTTTTTCTGCAGCCCCATAACCCAACGCGCAATCTGCCAGAAGCAGGCTTCCACGGGGGCCCCCCATAGCCACTTATCGGCGAGAGGGTCGCGCTCGTCCGCAAACAAACTCATAAATAAAATCCTTACGCCGCAACTTTCATGGACGGCAATGCACACCAGCGTGTACCCGTTGCTCGATATTGAGCTGCAGCTGACCCAGTTGCCGGTATTAATCTGGAATGCGTGAAAGGGAGCCACGAGGATTTCGAGACTGTCAACGACACGCACCCGGATAAATAAACGCTCTTCCGCATCGATCGATTTTCCCTCGGTAATCTGCTGATTTCTCTTCTCCGGTCGGATTCGTTGACGAATGGAATATTCAAAGTGAAATTTGTTGGAACAACCTCTAGTTTGCTCGGGGAAAGTTTGCGAAACGATATTTGTGAGATGCTCGCTTGAATGAGGCCAGGTGAATTGGTTCACAGCCAATCGAGTTACATTACGCCGATGATGTTACAATAACTCAACCATAAATAACATTAATTCTTTAAACAACCGGTACAATTTTGTCGGAAGAAAACTCGTGACAAAACTTTCGATAAAAAAAACAGATTACGCTTCGACAGCCTCTCCTCGCGATCGCATAGCGGAATATTAAACGGAAGCGAGCAGCTCGAGCGTAATGCGCTTCTTTGCAGCCTCTCGTCTCTCCTTTTTACGTGCTCGCTCATCAAGCGACTCAAAATTCAACGTTCGTCCGGATCGACCAAAATTCAACAACTTTTTCCAACCACGCGGCACTCTTCCACCGGGATGGCCGGTTTCTTGGCGAAAGTTTTTCTATCAAGATTACCTGGCCTCACTCCAATGCTCGCGGGAGAAAGGGAACAGGGGATAACCGTTATCATACCGGTGGCCTGGGACTCGCAACTCCAAATGGATTTTGTTTGCTCGGCCAAAAGGAGAAATAATATTTCTCCCGTACACGCCACGACTGATAATGTCCGACTTTTTAATCAGACTTCGACTCTCGGGGGACCACATTCCTTCGGGGCACCGTGGATAGATTTTGTCGCTCAGAGCGATAACGCCACCGATGTAATCAAGTTTTTCGGGGATTTATTTCTATACCGAAAAGTTAGAAGTTAGACATATTTTGTTAAATAATTCTAAATAATTTTTTACATGTGACAATAGAAAATGAGACACTGAAATATACTCGAGTATAGTAGTAAAATATTACAATAAGAATTTGTAAATTTTCTTAAACTATAGATGAAAGGATTATTTGTCAGAATGATATGAGGATCATCGAAATCGATGAGGCGTATCTTCATCTATGTAATTACCGAGAAGCTAATTGTGCTCACTGTGCTTTGCTCCTAATTGATACGCAAGCGAAACAGCACGGAACGTGACACCGAGTGTTTAAAATAAAATACCAAAGAATAGAGAACGGGTTAGGAATACTAAAGGTAACGAGAAAGAGAGAACAAACCGGCGTCTATATTTGCAGAATTTTGGCAGGTAGCCAACAATAGCTGTTTCGGCTAGGTTATATCTCACTCCATGGCAACCCATAACAAACATAAGTGAATTATGTCGACGCGTGCCGTTCGATACTTTACGGCATCGCGGTCAAACCCGATTAGTTTGGCGTCGAAAACGCTTCGCGAGATCAATTGCGTGCACCCCGCGTCACCTTTCATTTCTCTCTCGATTAATTTCACCCCTTCGCAGATTTATCCTTTTAATACGCGGTGGGTTTTCGATTGATTGCACGGGGAAGTAACGCGGCTAAAGTAACACCTGACATAAAACACGATCCATTATGGTGATACACAAACAGGACCAAAACTGCAATACTTAACCAGTAC